AAAATTGCAGTGAAAAGCTTGCTTAATGTATTAATTAAAGTTATTCCCCTGTAGTTTCCGGGGTCACATTTATCTCCTTTTTTAAATATGGGTGTTATTATACCTAGATTCCAGCAATCTGGAAAATGGCCAGTAGTTAGAATTAAATTGAATAGCTTTTGTAATGGACTGATTAGTATGTGTCTGCCTGCCTTTATCATTTCATTAATCTACACCTGGAGACTTACCATTTTTTAGGCTATTTATAGCTGTGTGAATTTCAAGCTGGGATATACTTTGATCACAGACCTCGTCACATTATTAGAAAGCAAGTCGATCTAACCACGTAAAATGATAACACGAAGGAAATCAAACATCACCGTTTTACGTTACCTGAAAATGTAAAAATCGGACTAGCTTATTTTCATCCAGGCTTATATTACTTATCATCTTTGGAAACAATGAAATTTCCCGCGACTCTCATGCTGGAAGTCGTGACCTCAAATCAGGTGATTAATTAAATGAGCGCCCCCTGCCGACGACCTATATCGTATAGGTAACATGTAAAATGGCGGAAACGGAGGTGAGAAATATTCGTAAACAGACAAATTACTTGCTCTTGTTTATTCATTGATTATATGGTGATTTTATTATCGCGATTGGTGATTTTACAAACTGCGAAACAGTTATGATGTCAACTGGTAATAGTTTGGGTAGCGAGCACTAATATAACTTGTACGGATAAAATAACCACGATAATTAATGGTTTGTTGTGAGTTGGAGAGGCTGTCGCTTTTTTAATATTTTTGTCAGCACCAGTGAGGGTTAACTATATTCTATTGTTTTCTATTTTTTTATATTAATTGAATTAACAGTATAATATTAAGGAATGTCGGAAAGATATTCTGAATCGTGATCAAAATTGTTATTGCGAGTTCTGGCGAATATTTAAGTTAGCAGTTTTGTAAATTTATTTAATATACATGTATTTAGGTTGAAACAAAACAAAAATGGTGGCGGCAGTTTATATACACGATTCTACCGTAAATTCCAACTGACTTGCCCTTTAAAGGACCAGACTATGATAAAATAAAAAAATTCAAGCTGAGAAAATTTTAAAGTTTGGCGTTTCAGTCATATTAGACATGTTTGGAACCACATTCAATCTTGAGAGGTACTTCTTAAAAATTTACATTTTTGAAACTCTACTTCAAAAATGAAAAATGTCAAATCAGAATGTCTTAGCCATGGTAACATCATTCCACTTGTATTTATTACTTCTTCTAGGCATACACGGCAAGGTTTCAAGAACTGAGAAATGAATTTTTAGAGAAACACGCCGGTGAGTAGAGTGTTAAATCAGGTAGAAGAATACATCTTTTATATAATGCGACAGAGTATGAGGTAATAACCAGCCGGTTATGAAATGTATTGTTGATTGGACATCTGCTACAGTCAATGCTGCTGAAAAATTATGCATAAATAAAACCAATTAGATGAACACAGTAATTATGTTGAGATGTGAAGGAAATATCGATATTAACTTTTCTTTTTTTTTCGCAAGATGATATTGCCAATGGTGCCTATGATCAGAGAGATGTACAAAAAGTACGATCTGATGACTTCTATGTCAAGCTTTTTCTTCTCCATTCAAAAGGAAGCTATGATTTTGCTCTTGAAGTGATTCATAGCAGTTTAAAGTTCAGAAAGGACTTTGGGGTTTACGGTGAGTCAGTCGTGATAAATGTTGTTTCACATCTACTGTAAAATACTTTATTTTAGCTGGATTTAATTTTCGCTGAATAGACTTTTTAGGTGTTTTGTATGGAATTTATTTTCACTGATACTTGACAAGTTGAATGTAAAATATAGGAAAAAAGGTATATTAGCTGGATTTTATTTTCACTGAATCATTCCTACAGCGAAAATAGCGAAAATTTATTCCAAGCGAAAAATAAAGTATTCCACAGTATATTACAGTTTTGAATTATATATAAATAGTAATGCAATCTTGTAGTACATGTAGTTAGTACAATAGGAAATTCTTTGCAGTTGTTATCACTGTAAACCTATGTGTATGTGAAAAATCTGGCTTAGATCAATCTTTTCTAGGGATTATAACTTGTTGTTTATAAAACTTCTGATCATTGTGCATCTTACTGGGGTAATTAAAATTGTGAACATTACAGCATTGTTTTTAAGTTTTAATTCTTAAAATTCTTCATGAAAAATCAAAATAAAAGTGTAATTGTAATGGTGACTTTAAAGTCTATTCACATCGATTTTATTACTGCAATACTTTAAACAACTTTTATTTGTGTGCAATCTAACCTTTAACCTTTTGAGCAATCTAACCTTTAACCTTTTGAGCAATCTAACTGTGGTCTTTAACCTTTTGAGCGCCACATTTATTTTCATTAAATTTTGGTGTATTTTTTGTAATTTGCACTGAATTCAATCTTAAATTTTGACCAAACAGACGATAAAATTTGACATTGCTTCTAATTTTTGATCAAAAACTTAAACATTTTCTCAACATTTCATTTGAAAAGGTACAAACTATAAATGGAACTATTTTGTGGATGGTGTCTCAAGTTGACTTTAGCACTCAAATGGTTAAAGGATACAGTAGTTGTTGTGCCACACATGCACCAGATGTTGGTCTAAAATTAATGACTTTTATTGTGGTGCATATCAACACTCATGCACAAAACAAAACTAGGCAATTCCTGGCATGGTAGGAAAACACTGAGTGACTCTAAGAAGTCAAAGTCGGTATTTTGTGCACAACGTGACTAGATCAAAACTCTCATTGTGTGGTGCTGCCCTTTAAGACAAAAAGTTTAAGTGACATATGCAAAATTGTGTAAGTTCAATCACCTCAGTTTTTTAGCATTGAATATTTTGGCTTTACATAAATAACACATAAATTGAATTATAAATGTGAAAGACTACGTCACATTTTATGTGCGACTTCTAGAAATACTGGTATATAGGATAGCATACTGCCATTGTATATTTTATCATTTGTATCATCTTTCAACAGATATCACTGAAGATAGCTTTCCCTTGGAATTATGGGAAATCGGTGGATTATATGTACATGGCAAAGACCTGAGTGGCAACCACCTCTGTGAGTTTATTAATGCATGGTTACATTATGTGTGATTTTGTTCTAGGAATATTTTGGAATATTTTTTTCATTGTGTCCTACGGATTTGAGGATGGGTTGCCATGCCAACAGACTTATCACTTTTCATGTTAATCAGAATAATCAAGGGGTGGTTTATAATACAAAGTGGAAATGCAACTTTGCAAATTCAAACTTGAACAAAAATTAAACCCACATAGTTGATTAACTGTATTTTATCAAAAATGTTTATTGAGACATCAAGCTAATTGCACAATATTACCATTGTTAACAAAGAAATTACAGAAAAATTGGTAGAATATTAACTGAAAATGTTTGTTAAATGTTAAAATGATTTATTTTCAGACAATTTTTACTAGGATTATGAGTACCTCATAAGTTTCTAACTTATGAATCAGTATATATGACATTGCTAAATTCTTTCATATTCTTGTCAACAGTGTGGTTTTTAGGAAGAAAGTTTAAAAAAGGGGATGCACAAAAACAGCTGCTTACCAAGAAAATAATAGTGTATTGGCTTGAGAAGATAAGTATTGAACATCCAGGTGAAAAAGTCACTGTCATTCAGGATGCAACACAAACTGGACTACAGAATATGGTATGTAAATTTCATCTAGTGCTAATTTGCATAGGATTAGCATAATTTATACAAACTAATTTGCATAATACATACAATTAACCAGTTGATAATAACCTGTACCAATGTTAAAAGTGTTTATAATAGCTTTAGACATCTTTGTTTACAAGGAACATGAGAACAAAGTAGCATGTGACAGTAAGAGAATTTAAATCATAAAAAACTAATTTGATTTTTACACACTTGATTTGAAGTGTTAATTACTCATATGTTCATATTAAACTAGCAGGTCACTGCCAACACAGACGGTTTTTGAGTGCCGTGTGCAAGCTCTAAAGAGCCATTCATTGGATTTTGATGAAACTTGGTACATAGATGATGCTCTGGACTAATGTACAGATTTGATTAGTTTGGGTAAAAATCCATGCATATAATTAACCTAATTGGCATGATAATTAGCTGATTTTTAGCTGTTTCATGACTATGCCACCAATATCTAAAGAGCCATTCTTTGGATTTTGATGAAACGTTGTACATAGATGCCCAGGACTAATACACAAATTTAATTAGCTTTGGGTAAAAATCCATTCATATAATTAACCTGCATAATGATTAATCAATTTTCTGCTTTTCCACTGATATCTCAGGTACTTATCATCACATTTCAATGAAACTTAAATATATACATAAAACAATGCACAGACAGATATGTGTATTATTAATTACCTAATTTGCATAATTAATCAATTTTCAGCTTTTGATATTTCAAATACTATCACTTCATTATTTTCAATGAAACTTGCTTGGTACATAGATTTTCTAGAACAATGCAGAGACCTGATTACTTTTGGGTAAAAATGTGATCATATTAATCAACCAATTTGCATAATTAGTTAATTTTCAGCTTTTAAACTGATATCGCAAGTACTAATCCCATTTTAATGAATCCTGGTACATAGATGTTCTAGGACAATGCACAGAAGTGATTAGTTTTGGGTTAAAATCAGTGCATATTAATTACCTAATTTGCATAATTAGCCAATTTTCAACTACATATACACTCTAACATAATGTGATGATCTAATTAGTTTTAGGTTCATATACATCTATAATAATTACCTAATTTGCATAATAATTTACTTTTCAGCTTTCCACTAATTTAGTTAGGATTGATCATCACATTGTAATGAAACTGTACATGTGCGCCCTGAAACAATATACAGACCTAAATCTATGCATAATAATTGATTAATTTGTATAATGGTTCATTGAGGTAGTCCACAGATGTGATTAGTTTAATGTTGTTACACACATGCATATTGTTTATCTATTATTAGCCTATTCACGATATCTTAAAAAGCAGAATTAATTAGATTTTATCACAGAGGAACTCTAAATAATTAATTTGACTAAAAAGCATGGATGAAAAATCAAATTTATTTTCTGTATGTATTATAAATGTAAATCGCACTGTTTTCATGTTGTGCATCGCAAATAGCAGACAAATATTAGTTGCTAAGCTTCTCGTTTGAAATGCAAATCTTAAATTTCCAATACTCTCAGCACATAGGAGTTCTTACTAAGCTTGATTCAATATAAAGCATAAAAATCTGTTTGTTTTTTTAGAAATTATTTCTTTGTAGTCAATTGCTATGTTCACACGACAGCATTTTATCGGAGCCCAACGGCCAAGTTTGGCTCCACTAAACCCTCAGGTTGTACTTCGATAGGGTTGAGTCCTGACATGGCTCAAATCATGTAAACGCATCGGGCCCAACTATCGGAGATGAAATCACGCCCTCAATCGTTTTCTTCGAGTAACCTCTCATTTCAATTATGGCGGAGACAACATCTCTCATAATTTCACGCAATTTCCTGCTTGAATAAGAGGTACGCTGATTATCTATTTTACAAATGTTTGCATTTCAGGATTTGGAGATGGTCAAGTTCATAATCACATGTTTCAAATTTTACTACCCCAATATGTTAGGTAAGAATTAAATGATGTAGTTCTGTGTTACAACTTGTTTGTACTTCCCCACAGACATGGCAAGGGGAATAATTATTGTTAAATAATCGCCATGCTTCAAATGTATAAGGAAACGTGTTACTCTGAGCTGAAATATGTGTATTGATTGTATTTTAGGTGTTATGCTAGTGTATGAATTGCCCTGGATTCTGAATGGTGAGTTTAATAATGTATTCAAATTTTTGAGGGTAATAAAAACTTGAAGTTGAGTACTGTAAAATACATTTTTTTTTTCGCTTGGAATTAATTTCCACTGAAGGAATGATTCAGTTAAAATAAAATTCAGTGAAAATACCTTTTTTTCTATATTTTACATTCAACTCGTCAAAAATTGGTGAAAATAAATTCCAAACAAAACACCAAAAAGTCCATTCAGTGAAAATAAATTCCACCTAAAGTAAAGTATTTTACAGTAGTGATCTCATCCTATTTAAGAGTGATGTAACAAAGATAATTTTTATTTAAAGGAATATACATGTACAATCCTGATTGATTATGTTAATTATTTCTAATATGATTGACAGCTGCGTGGAAGATAATCCAGTCGTGGTTATCAGAGGAAGCTAGAAAGAAAGTTATCTTGCGAAATAAAAGCACTATACAGCAACAAGTAGGAGCTGATATCTTGCCACCATACATGGGAGGAAATGTAAGTTGATTGTGATAAATAACACTTGCTGATATCTTGCCACCATACATGGGAGGAAATGTAAGTTGATTGTGATAAATACCACTTGACTTGATTAGTTTTGGATTACTTCCATGTATATCAAGTATCTAATTTGCATGATAATTAGACAGAATGATGCTTTCCCATTGATATCTATGAATATCAAAACTTGGTAAGTCAGTGATCTGGTACAATTAACATATCTTGTTGATTCCTGCTTAAAATCTACGAAAAATAATTGCCTATTATGCATAAATAAGCCAATATTTACTTGTTATACACATCTCAATGACCACTCATCAAATATCAACTTGGCGCACACATGTAGGTGTCCAAAATAAACAACAGACCTGATTTAATACTTTTTTACCACCAGTTTATAGTCTGCACTTTCCTTTAGAAGACTGGAACAAAAGTAGCCAAATTTGTTGTGTAAAAACTGAAAATTGACTTGAATTCTGTCTGTTGGCTCCAAAATTAGGGTTCGTTTCCAGAATTAATGAATAATATGAGAAAAAAGTGCAGAAAAATTTGGGCAAGTAAGTCTGGTGGTGATAAGGTCAATATGAATGGCTGTTTTTTGTAAAAGAAAAAAACATCTATGCATGGGTTTGCACCAAGCATTTATTTATGGGCAATATTGGGGGGGGGGGCAGACATTCAGGTATTTACATCGCCTGGCAACCATCACAGTGAAAATACAAAGGAAGAAAACTCTCAGAAAACGGTACTTTGAGACTCGAACAGTGTAACAAGATTACTCCTGTGTGTGCAACATATATAAATTGTTTAGGATTACTTCAAAGTTGAGTTTGTGTTGTTTTCTCGAATTTAGCTATTTTCACCGGCTCTTTGACCGGTGTTCCACAGCAGCTCGCACAGAGCCCTCAGAAATACATGGTAGAGTGATGCGCACCTCAGCAGCGTGGAACGTCTTGTGACAAAGCTCTGCCAAGATCTGCATAATGATCAACTTAATTATGATTTAACTTAAAACATACAGTCTGAAAGCCAGTGACTAACACCATTGTTCCAGATAGCCAATGGGCAGTATATCTATCACATTGCCTGTTGAGCGAGTGCTGAGTTTGAATCAATCTTTTATGGTTTCTGCTTTGCATAGTACAACTTGGTCAGTGTTTCAGCTTTGATGTCAAGTGATCGGTATAAAAAGTCATAGGACAATTTATGAGCACAAAGAGATTTGACTCAGAGTCGGGAGATTTACTGTATATACGGTATGCAATGGAGCATTCTGATTGGTTGAGTGGAACTAGGTGGGTTTGAAGTTAAAGTTACCCAATGGCAGGAAACCTTTTTATTCAATATACATGTATGAAATTTAATCTCTGAGACTATCAGCAACATCATTGGTTAAGAAAATCCAGTCAAACTAAATAGGTGATGGTCACAATCATGAACAACTGGTTAAACGAATACATGATACATCAGTGATACGTATGGATGGAGTTACGATTTATTTGACTGCATAGAAATGTTTTCATTCCAAACATGTACACTGTAACCTTGTTATAATTAACTCTACAGGGGAAACACAATTAGTTTGTTAGTCCCTGTTCGAACGCAGTCCGAAAATGGAGACTTATGGATTGACCTCTGTGCGTGCATCTGTGCATGCATGTATGTGTCTGAACCTGTATCTTGTTCATGCCTTGACCGCTTACATTCAAACTTCACACATACATTATACATAATATTATACATATGCACATCAATTTGTTTCACGATCTGATTCTAAATGGCCGAATGGCGGCCATTTTTGTACATCAAAATCAAGCATTTCTTCGCTGTTTACAAATGGATTTTGTTCAAACTTGGTACACACATTGGACATTATGGGACCTTGATGCTTGTCTTTTTATTTTTCAGATCAGATTAAAAATGGCCAGCTGGCGTCAATTTTGCTTTAATGAGTGTGGTTCTATTACCATATATCTGACATGTTTGATCGACTGATTATGTTAAAATTTTATATAATCATTATACATCATGTCATAGATATACAGATGTATTGGTCTAGGATCTGATTCAAAGTGGCCGACTGGTGGCCATTTTGTTTTAATTAATGATGTTCTTGACCAATATCTCTCAATAAGATATTAACTTATGGCTTGTTGATAGTGAAGTCTTTACTATAATAAGCATATAATGCTGGTATATTGGGTTTATGTGTTGGAAATGTGTAATGTGTTTTTCATACATGTGTTGAACTGATCATGAAGGCATGAATATAATAACTATGCAGCTTACTAATATATGTATGTGAATGTCATTGAAGGATACATTTGAATGGAAGTATGTACCCACACCACCCAAAGAATACCAAGAGATGATGGAAATATTTGATGAAGATGAAACTGAAATAGAGTCTACAGAAGATGGAGAGACAACGGTTATATCCAATAAAATTACAGAAGCACACATAGGAAATGAGAGTGGAATGAATGGTGAGATGACAGTCAGGAGAAGGGTGAGTGGTAATCATATATGCTAGAATCATTGTAGAATAGAAAAACTAGTGACAGATATATTATATCAGAATACATGCATGGGAAAGAGGTATTTGCGTAATTCTCGCATTGTGTACAATTTGGATTTGTCCGTTGTTTTCTACTGAAATCCTAAAAGACCATGTGGTCAATATTGAATCAAGCCTATATATAGCAGGTGGGGCTGAGAAAATTTCTCAGTTTGCAGAGAGAAGTAAAGTTGTTTTAGTATACTCTCTAAGCAGCCACAATTTGTCCCCAGAGATTCCTGATATTGTATTTGCTATATTAGAAGTGCATATAACCCCAAATCATCTTCGTTGTCTAAAATATTGGTATGACTTATTTAAGCATAGAAATTGTATGTAAGTGCATGCTGACAGAGAAAATTTCGTACTGTAAAATGTTTGCTTGGAATAAATTTTGGCTATTTTAATTGAAAGGATGATTCAGTGAAAATAAAATTTAACGAATATACCTTTTTCTCTATGATTATATATTCAACTCATCAGTGAAAATAAACAGCATACAAAACGTGCAAAAAATCCTTTTAGGGTAATTTAATTCTTGCTGAAATAAAGTACTTCACAGTGTATGAGCTATGTGCCAATAATACTATTCATCAAAGTTTAATTAAAACATTTTTTTTCATGGTAGCATGTATTCTACTGCCATCACATGTACTTGACATGGTAAAACTATTTCAGGTTCATTTTGCTGAGGATTCTGAGAGGCCACCAATAGTGAAAAGTCAAAGTGCTGATAATATAGAAGTCTTATCTTCTTCACCTTCTAACACTAAAGAAGTGAGTATACGTTTGTATTTAGCATTAACCTTTTTACCACCAGTTCCCTCTTTCATCACAAATTCACAAAATAGTCCTTCAGAAGATTGGGACAAAAATAGCCAATTTTTTTCAGTAAAAACTGGAAATTGACTCAAATTTTTTCTATTGGCTCAAAAATTAGGGTTTACTTACAGAAATATTGAAGCATATTAGCAAAAAAGTGCAGACAAATTTGGACAAGGAAATCTGGTGGTGAAAAGGTACCAAACACCTCTCTACTTTCTCACTGACTAGGAAAGCTATCTTGGTAAGTGATTTTGTATCAGTCTTTAGGTTACATTGGATAAGGCCAATCTTCTTTCCTTAATACAACGTACATAATTTGACATAAAACTAGAACTAGCGAATGACCTGGATTGTCTACTAGATGTCCACCTATACATGCCTATCACTGAAGCTCTTAATATCAGACATAATACATTGTAATATCAGAGGTCTCAAAGCTTGAACTTTGGAGTTGAAAAGACACCCAATTTCAGGGCACACAAGATTTATAGAGAGAATCTCAAAGAGCACCAAGGCATACTAATTGGTCATCAAGGCAATGGTCTTTGATGCCTCCATGAAGTTAATAAGCTTTGGTGGTTTGAATAATTATTTGTCCACACAAAAACAAGTTTGAAATCTAAAGTCAGCAAATAAACCTGAGTAGTTTTTGATAGGACTGGCTTTTCAAATACATGTGTATCTGCTAACACTATTTTTTAAAAACTTTATTTCTTCATGGGAACTGTAGGTACTATGATAATATTTTATTGAACAATGTGACCAGTTTTCATTTTTGATTTTCCTATAACGAAAGTGATTTTCTGATGACAATGTGATAACTGGATAATCACCAATTGTTCCACATGTTATGGTATTTTTTTTGCAGGCCTTAAATCACCATATTGCCAGTCCTTTGAAAACCAGGCGATCTAAAAGAGTTGGTGACAGTGCTAAGGGGGCACATCTTACGATAAGGTAAATGCATGATCCACCCTCTTTTATAGGCGATGCATATAATGTAAACCATTTATTTTCACTTCTAGAACCTCAGAGAAATTTTCACTGCTATACATGTACCATTTATCAATTTTCACAGATTCATGAAAATTTCACAAAAATTAAATCAATTTGTAGTATAATAAATTTGAAAATTAGATGCAAAGATTTTGTCATGGTAACCATTGGGACAGTGTCTGTGGTTTTTTTCATGGTAACCATTGGGACAGTGTCTGTGTGGATTTTGTCATGGTAACCATTGGGACAGTGTCTGTGTGGATGTTGTCATGGTAACCATTGGGACAGTGTCTGTGTGGATGTTGTCATGGTAACCATTGGGTCAGTGTCTGTGTGGATTTTGTCATGGTAACCATTGGGACAGTGTCTGTGTGGATTTTGTCATGGTAATCATTGGGACAGTGTCTGTGTGGATTTTGTCATGGTAACCATTGGGACAGTGTCTGTGTGGATTTTGTCATGGTAACCATTGGGACAGTGTCTGTGTAGATTTTGTCATGGTAACCATTGGGACAGTGTCTGTGTGGATTTTGTCATGGTAACCATTGGGACAGTGTCTGTGTGGATTTTGTCATGGTAACCATTGGGACAGTGTCTGTGTGGATTTTGTCATGGTAACCATTGGGACAGTGTCTGTGTGGATTTTGTCATGGTAACCATTGGGACAGTGTCTGTGGTTTTTTTCATGGTAACCATTGGGACAGTGTCTGTGTGGATTTTGTCATGGTAACCATTGGGACAGTGTCTGTGTAGATTTTGTCATGGTAACCATTGGGACAGTGTCTGTGTGGATTTTGTCATGGTAACCATTGGGAAAGTGTCTGTGTGGATTTTGTCATGGTAACCATTGGGACAGTACCTGTCTGGATTTTGTCATGGTAACCATTGGAACAGTACCTGTCTGGATTTTGTCATGGTATTGTCATTTTATTTAGTAACATGATGCAAGGCAGATGGTGTTACAGTGAATACAATGAAGGCATGAATGTATTTTTTAGTCCCTGTTCGAACGCAGTCTGAAAACGGGGACTTATGTTTTGACCCTTGTGCATCTTAGACATGCCTGGACCAATCACAATCAAACTTCACACATGCATCAAACATAATATTATACATATGTACATCAATTTGTTCCACGATCTGATTCCAGATGGCCGAATGGCGGTCATTTTTGTACTGAAAAATCATCAAAATCAAGCATTTCTCTGCTGTTTACAGATGGATTTTGTTCAAACTTGGTACCGTACTCGACCGCGTTAGCGCCCATGCCCGGTGAAGCGCCCACCCCCTACTTTTGCATAATTTTTATATTTGGGGTCACATTCGGCAAAGCGCCCACCCCTTCAAAATGCCACTAATTTAAAACTTGGTCTTTGATCATTGCTTAACGAATACTGGTAGTCGTTTTTATATCATGATACAGTCAGGATATCGACCGCTGTGAATATGTTGTGAATGTGTAGACCATGGTAACCGTGCATAAACTAATGCTTCGACCTGTTAATAAAAGTGAAATGCGGTAAATATTTCATGCCATATTCAGTTTACGAATAAAAATTGCTTGTTGCCATTTTTTAAAAAAAACCATGTCGTTTATTCGCCGAAATTAATTCCAACAGATCGTACTTTGACATCGATTATTCACTTCCGCATTGCGTTACCCAAGTGTCTTTGAGAATGTCTGAAGAATTGCTTCAGTACTACACAGCATTTTGATTGGATAATAACAGACTTGACTCATTAGGTCAGAACGTTGATGCAGGTCAAATGCAAATACATCATGGCGGAAAGTGCTTTACATCGGGAGTTTGCGTACGATCCGACACATTCGTCAGTGGGGATAATGATGAAGATTTGGACTTTGTGTTCCAACAGACTCAAATATTTTTAATCTCGTAAATTTGGGTGGTACGTAATTAATATTGTAATAAAATGTGCATATTTGACCATTTCTGTTTCTTCAGTGTAAGAGTCAATGACGATGCACCTAATTTCGTAATTATATTTTCCCTCAAACTTTCAAAGACGTAATATCCCCCTCCATCTGTCACTAGGTGAATTAAAATTATCAGTTGCACTCTTTTCCAAGGGGGGTGCTCGGGTAAGCGCCCACCCCTAAAAAATCCTGATTTTGTGTTAATGAATGTGGTTCTAGTGTCATATCTCTGACTTGCTGTTCAAATTTTAAATATTCATTATACATCATGTCATCCTATTAAAAATTGTTGAATAGTGGTCATTTTTGTGCTAAAAAATCATCAAATATCAAGCATTTCTGTCATTTATGAATGAATTTTGTTCAAACTTGGTACATACATTAAACATTATGGGTTCCTGATGCACGTTATTTTATTTTTTAGATCAGATTCAGAATGACTGACTAGTGGCCATTTTGTTTTAATGAATAGGCTTCTAGAGCCATATCTCTGACATGCTTTGACTGACTATGTTCAAATTTTATATATTCATTATACATGTATTCACGGTTACTAAAAAAGACGGTTAGGAAACAAACCATGTTCTTTTAATTGGATGCGTGTCGCGGGTAAACATTTTAAACAAAAGACGTACTAATCTGTGATAAATCATTAACATAAAATATTACATCATTTTTTATGAGTTCAACAACTGCACGCCATTTTATTGTGTCTGTGTCGATACTTTCAGTAATACTAAATGTAAGTTGTTCCAGTGAATCCTGACAAAACCTGTCGCTCAGTTTGAACTCATTACACATTTGCCTGTCGTGTATGGCATTTTCGTTTCTAAAGAGCAAGATCAACAGAAAACTGAAATAAAAAAACCAACAAAACATGATCAGAAAAAAAGACGTCAAAGAAACCATACAAGTGTTTATTTTTCAGCCATGAGCAATGATACCACATACATTTTGTTGGAAATAAACAAAATATGCGATAAGATAACCCGCCCATGCTCAACAAAATGCATGTAAGCAGACCAAATATGCAACAACAGGCAGTTCCAATGAAATTAAGAACGGTTAAAAAGGGTTTGAAAAATTGATTTGGCGAAGAGACTGCTAGAAAGTTGTACCGACAGTTCAATATGTTAAAAAATTGTAACGTTGACTAAAACCGCATATAACGGCACGCTGAATATTGCAACATGAAAAATTTGACAAAAAATTGAAACAAGGACAGACAAGAACAATTCAACAGGCATTTTATGAAACTGGCGGAAAATGTTGAATACCTTTTAAACGATTTCTACGGCGTCTACAAAAAAAGTGTTAAGACTTTAAACAAAATGGCGGATACAGTGACGCGAAAGCAAAATGTACTCTAATAAGCCCCTAAATCGCATACAACCGTCATAAGTACACACAGTAGTATACTAAAAATTCATTTGGTTGTATTTTTTATAATATAATGTATTTTAAAATAATGACTTAGGGGTTAGAATTTTTGTCACTTTTTCTTCCGCGACCCAGTGAAAACGATAAATGACGATTCTCGATTCAGAATGTTATCACAGTCACAAAGAGTACTCATTCGAAATGTACGTGTATTTTTTCGTAGAGCTTGAGCACTAAACATGGATATTATATCAAAAACAAGCTGAAAATTTCAAATTCGCGGGACATCAAGTCAAACAAAATGGTGGGCCTTGAAATCTCAAGCAATGGCGTACACAGCGCGACACGCATCCTTGAGGGATTAGGCAGATTCACACCTTTTAACAAAAGCATTTCCTAATCGTCTCTTTTAGTAACCATGATGTATTCAAAATGGCTGATTTTGTTTTAATTAATGCTGTTCCAGAGCAATATCTCTCGATACTTGTTTGACGATCAGATCCTGACATGTTTATATTCCAGCTATATTACTATAAACAAAACTTTATATCTTAAATTTGATAACTAACAGGGACTGTGCCATGCATGGCTTGTTTAATATACATGTATAAAATATTTATTATTAATGTTTTATCAATTTCAAAATACGGTTGAATACAACCTGCTGAATAACAATGTCCCAGCCTTTGCATTCTGCATGTATATAGTATCTTTTGTGTGCATGCTAGTAAATTGGTGCAAATCAAAGATATGGTTTTCCAATATTTGATGTTTCTTACTGACATTTGATTACAAATAATGTGTATTTTATCAATTCATACATAGGATAAGTTAATGGATAAATGTTTAGATGTCAACTTACAAACTTGTCTAAACAGCTGCACATGGCACATATACAATATTTGTAACATACTGAGTATTAAATCAACCAATAATTGAAGGAATCCCATAACGTCTCCCGGGTAATAGACTTAACCAAATATCTTCTATAGCCAATGAAACTTTCATCTTAAGATTTGAACGAACCATGAGGGTCATCTGTATTAATTAATTATAAATATTTAATAAATTTCATGCTTTCATGATTTGTTTATATTTGATTTCTTGATCACAGCCCTGCAGAAGATTTAGAGTTCATTGCTACCGAACACAACAAGGAAGCCCACTCTGTTATATCTTTATGTAATAACACACAAGGACTTGTTGCATTCAAGGTTTGTATAAACTCAACATAGTTGAATAAGTCGACTGCAAATAGTGTAAAATCTCAGTCTCAGTAACAGAGACAGAATGATTGTTGAAATATTTGTGTACCTTAATTAATTAATGTAAAGTATTGTCAATTTATTTCAAACATGTTTTTCACACACTCGTAATTTCTCCATGAAATAAAACTCCCATACAGATTATATTATTGATTCTAATTGCTGAGATTGTTTTCAGGTGAAGACGACAGCCCCTGAGGTATTCCGAGTGAAACCCAGTGCAGGCACTATAGCACCTGGAAAATCTAATGATGTGCATGTCAGTCTTCAGTCAGGTAAAACACACACACACACATAGTTTGATAATGTTCAGTCTACTCTTGGGGCAGCCATCCGGGCATTTTCACTACCTGGCAACCATCAATATAACTGAAAACTTTCAGGAAATGATATTTTGGGCTAGTTGTTGAGACTCTCCTGAACAGTGTAACAAGATTACCCCTACATGTGTAATACATATCAATTTGGTTGTTCAGGATTACTTCAAAGTTGAGTTTGTGTTGACTTCAGCTTTTCACAGCAGTTTGTGCACAGTCCATAGAAATAGAATGTACAGTAGTGTGCATCTAAGCAACATATTAGTATCGAATTTTAGTAGAATATTAGTAGGGTGGAGTGAGACAAATTACCATCCATCAATGGTAGACAATGAGGTGATACTGGTGACATCATGACTTGTTTACTACAATACAAATATAACATTATTGATGTTTGTAAGATGATGTTTGCTACTATTCAAGAAGCTAAATGCATGCAATACCCAAGGAAATGCAAGAAGGAGTATTAGTTATTATTATGTATCTGTCATTGTATCTCCCAAAGTTACAATATTACAATGTATCAACATTTTATGTAAAACCATTTATTTATCTTTTGAGCAATTTCACTGGGTTTTAGGTTGCACAAACATTGCAAGGAAACATATTGTAATAACCTTCTATACAGCACATTATGTAAATATCAATAAAGGTTTCACATGTCACTGTGGCATCATGCATCATGACGTAATTAATGCTCTTTTGTTTTTCACAGGTCATGAGTATACGGTTCGTAGAGAAAAGTTTTTAATTTTATCAACTCAAGTACAGAACTCTCCAAAAACACAAAGTGAATTGCAGTCACTATGGAAAAAAATACCATCTTCAAGTATGGTAGAACACAGGTAATCCAGAATATTGAAGAATAACATGTCTTTGTCACATGACTTACCAGGTTACACTACTAATCTATTTAATTACAGGATATTTTACTCTATATTTAGAATGGATTTCCTTTCATCCATCTATTCAGAATAACAACTCGCCACTAGAGGGCACCTTATTTTTACGCATCTATTCTAAACAGTAATTTATCACTAGAGGGCGCCTCCTTGCCACCATCTATTCTTTCACCACTTTTCCGGAAGTACTAAGACTAGGGTGCAAGCACAATGCCTGCCTTTTTCATTGGGCATTGTCCGCCTGTTGATATTTGGTAAAAGGGACTCTTATTGTCACATTGATTGGTACACCAGTAAGCACAATATCACATGTGCAAGTTTACAGCAATTCACAACTAGAGGGCTTGATTTTTTTCCTCTTCATTCTTCCATACAGGTTGCGTTGTTCTTTTCGAGTGGTGCCCATAGACAATAAAATAGCCATGAAAAAACAAACAGAGGTTGAGACTTTACAGCAACAAGTGACAAAACTTTCCTCGAAGGTGAATAAAATCTTTTATTTTTGTAAAGTAAATCGTTAAATAGACACCTGACTTAGAATAGTGTTCATTTGATAGAGATGATATGGTGCTTGCTAACAAGGTGACCAGCTGGTTATCGCAGCGATCAAGTCTTAGTTTACTGTTTTATCCAGACTACTTATTTATTTTTATGGAATATCAACATATCATAAATATATGCATAATGGTATCCATCACCAAGTATGACAGACAGTGAACTAATGTCTTCTTTTCAATATGCTTTGATTCACTTAACCATTGAAATTTACCTTGTATATCATCGCCACGTAAATATCAAAGTATTAATATAATTTCTCCTCTAACCATTTTACTCCTCTCACAAAATAAACCCACAAAAAGTTTTTCTTATTCTTTCCAAAAACTTAATCCGGACCTGCATACAACATGAAAATCTATTTGGTTTAAAATTAAAACAGAAATTATAGAAAATTTGGAAAATGTTGTCCCAATGACAGTGCCATAGTCATTGCACCACATCATGTTCGATATGGCTCCCATACGATGTCTACAACATGTGTAACATACATTGTTAGTTTTAATGAAATTTGAATGAGTGCTGCATGATGATTGACACCTAAGCAAGTATTATGATTCATACCTCTAATGAGTTAATGAATGACCTTGTTTAATTCTTTTCAGCTGGAAAAACTTGTAGACCATAACGAGAGAATTAAAGAGAGCTTATCAAGTATACTTAAACTACTCAAGTTTTTCTTTGTGTCTGGTTTTATTCTCTTCATGTGTGCAATTTACTACTATTTACGATATTCTGGTACGGTGCCAGACGGCAGACGATGTCAGAGCCAAGGAACATCAACCACACACACTGAGAATATCATGTCTGATCCAACTGTGACAATGGGACTTAGTGGACCATGACAATGTCTGTCATGAGAACTTACCATTACATTGAACATTATAAACACTAAATAATTTTCTGCAATTACACCCGATTCCAATGTGTTTTACGGTATGTGCTGAAAAGCTGCAAAATGAACCAAATATAGAAAGGTTTATTTTGAGGCCATGTGTGGCCATTCTCTTCTATGATAATGTTCAGTTTATTTACTGAATTATATTCGTAAATGCGAAATATAATTGTATCACTATCATATAAAAATGTCCAAATTTATTATTCATGAAGTACTGTAAAACCATTTATTTTTACTATTTTGATGTTTTGAGCAATTTCACTGGGTTACAATGAGTTCTATTGTTATTTTGTATGTATACATGGATTTATTTTAGTGGATTTCTCTTATCAACAGAAATAGTAAAATTAAAAACCAGTGAATAATTCATGCATTCACTGTAATTAGATTGGGTTCAACAAAATGTATACCAAGAATATACAGTTGAGTTTAGTGGCAATGACACGTTGTTCAGTATTCTATATTCACGCCAATCCTACTACCTCTTATCTGCTTGACACAAAGTTAAATACACTTTTGTGTTAACTATAAATTTTCATGAAATCAATGCATGATTTTGATGGCAATTTTTTTTTTCTGTTTTATCACAGAGTTTAATAGCAACATTATTTCCTGCCAAAATATTGCTGCAAATATTTCTAAAATTATAGGCATGTAATTTGGAATATGATACTCCTTGCTGCTTTTGAATTACAGCTTTAGTGTTGTAACAATTGTTGATAATGGGAGTCAAATGGCTCAACAGATCCACTTGTGTGTATTTCAAGTCAATGAAGTGTAAACAACAGTTACATAAATATAAACATGGGCATTCATGTAATAATAATAATCTTTATTGAAACCGTATCCCGAAGTGGGATCTTAGTTGAAAATACAATAAATGTATATAATAAAAGTAAACAATTTATATACAGAATAGAAAGTTTTGACCAGACACCCTACAATAGTGTCTTATGACCAAAAATTAAAGTGAGATGTCAAAATTTATGAACAAAGTTTATTTGTCTTTATTGCTACAACTCGCATTGACAACTCCAGAATTTAATGGTTGATTATTCCTATATTTTTGTTCTTGTATAAAATTGTACTAAAGTGAGAAACTGCATAACATTTATTCGTTGATCGCTGTCATTTTGTACACTTAATTATGGATTATTTCGTAGGTCTTCTTCATACTGGTTTGGAAACATTGTCTCAAATTTGCTCATTAACCATATGTGATGAAAGAAGGAACAGTCACACCTGTGGCAACTATAAGTTGATACAATGTAAGTGGAGTACAACTGTCATCTACTGTTTGGGATATTAGCATACTATATTTAACCAATCAACATCACCCACTGATTGTAAGAGCAAAATCAAGACAACATTGCAGACTCGTGTGGAGAGGGTTGAAGGACCTAAAAATAGGAAGGAAACCAGGCTTGGATCAAATAGACATAATTCCACAATGTCTATAGGTTCTGATAAAAAAATATTAAAAACAAATATGCAGATTGATTTTGTGAAATGTTTGTGACATGGGTAGATGTCAAAGAGTTAAAAAAAAACTTACTGAAACCATACAAGAATTTGAACAGACTGGAGGCTGCTACCCAAATTTGCATAGACTCGATTCAAAATATCCATACACCCCCCCACGGGGACTCCGAGCAGATATATTGCTATGAAATATGATTTGCATTCTGAAATCTGCTAACAATGTTTATTTTCATTGTAAAGTTCCCCATCAAAGTATCAGAATTTCACAAGAAAAGCTGACTGAAGTATAAATATTATGTAAAAGTGTGACAGTCATCACCATTTCCTGTTCAATGCAGGAACTTGTATACAACATGTGTAAAATACATTGTTTGTGTGAAATTTAAACATGTGCACATCTGTTCCTGTAAACAAACTTGCATACAATGAATGGAACCCATATTGAATGATGGTGGTCATCATGACAACATGTTCAAGTTATTGCATCACTTATTTCTTAATTATAGCAGATAACTTTTTATCTTGTGTCAATTTTATTAGGAGCTGCCTATTCATGACTTGCATAACCATTCCAGCTAGTCATCTCATAGCAACTACGGGTAGTTTACTAAACTACTTTTCTTTGCAAAAAATTGCTTTCTTGCATTGCAATTTGTAAAGCTTTTTTTTTTAATTTAAAATATACTTCTCAAAGCTGGATAATCTATTGCATTTTATATGCAGTAAACAAATCATGGATGTGTACAATACAGGTTGTGCAATCAAAACTTGCATCCGGGCTCTTAATGTTTAAATAGTCAAACAGCCTAGTCTTGAGACTAATACCGGTACTACTACTCTTCAGGTCAATTTTTATTCTGATTGGCATTAGATTTATGATTTTATTTTTCATTTATTAAATTTCTGGAAAAAAAAGTGTGGCACGCACT